GGACATGGCAGCCTGGGTCATCAGTCCCTTGCCTCCCACAGACCTGTACTGCCCATCCTGTGAGCATGTCTCCATGGCAAACCTGCAGTGCTGGGCCCACAACCCCGCAGTGGCCCTTGAAAGATGGACCCCAGTCACATCCCTTACCCTGCTCCACTGCCTCTCGTGTCTGCTGGTTGCTGAGGTTGGCATAGGGGACGGCACCCAGGCTGAAGGCTTCCCACAGGAGGATCCCAAAGCTCCAGACATCACTCTCAGAGCTGTATCGGCCTGGGGACGCAGGGCGGGACAGATGCTGGTGGCTGGGGACACCCATGGCACCACTGCCCTGGCTGTGCCCATGCTCACGAGGGCTGGGGTGCCCCAGCTCTCTCTGCCTCCTTCCCCAGGACCAGGCGCGTGGGAGCAGGGTGGTGTGCCTGGACTCCTAGCTCCCAGCTGTGCCGTGGCGCTGCCAGGCAGTACCCAGCTCCATCCCATACCATAATTGAGTGCTTCGGGGGCAGTCCACTTGACGGGGATCTGCTTCATCCCCCCTGTGGAGGCGTAGACACCATCTGCCTCCTCCCGCGACATCCCGAAGTCGCTGATCTTCAGGGCATTCTTCTCTGTCACCAGGCAGTTGCGAGCAGCCAGGTCCCTAGGAGAGCCCAGAGCCATCAGCCACACGCCTGGCCATCCCCAGGGGCCTCCACCGGGCACGGGTCAGGGGGCAGCGAGGGCTCCGGGGTTCACCCTGCCCAGCACCTGCCCATGCCACCGGAGCCCACCTGTGGATGCAGTGCTTGCTCTCCAGGTACTCCATGCCAGCAGCAGCATTCTCCATCATCTTGATCAGCTCCTTCACCCGCAGGTGGGGCCCCTCGCTGCGCAGGAAGCTCAGGAAGTCTCCCCCTGCACCCAGGATTGCGGAGCTGGTGGGCGGCAGCCCTGGCACGCCGTGGCGAGCTTGCACACACACGCACCGGCTGCCCTGGCAGCGCAGGGGCTGCAGGACGGGGCCACTCACCCTGCACAAGCTCCATGACAATGTAAATGGGCTGCTTCTGGGTGCAGACGCCAATGAGCCGGACGATGTTTGGGTGGTTGTACTGCTTGAGGATCCTGTGGGGACAAGGACAGGCACCATGAGCGTGTGGGGGCCTAGCTGCCGCGGGCACAGGCCACCTCTGTGCCGTCCCTGGGACGCTCTGCCCAGCTGGCCCTGGGACACGACCCTCAGCACAAGGATGCTGCAGTCCCAGCGGTGTTTGAACAGCCCCAAGTCCTGAGGATGGACAGATGGGCCAGGACAAGGGTGATGGCCACACAGACCTGGCTTCCTGCAGGAACTTGGCCTTGAGCTCAGGCGGGAGGGTTTCCCGGCAGGATTTCACAGCCACAGGAGTGTTGTCGGCACGCAGGCGGCCACTGAACACCTCCCCAAAGTTACCCTGCCGAGAGACATGGGTGCACCTGCCCAGCTTGCCGTGGTGTGGCCTGAGGCAACCCCTGCCCTCCCGCAGACCCCCTGGGGACAGCCCTGCCCTCCCACAGACCCCACGCAGGCAGGGACCAGAGCACCCTGACTCACTCGGCCGATGCGCTCTCCCAGCAGCACGTCCTCATGGTTGAGCACCCATTTGTCCTGCAGCAAACGGACACCAGAGGCAGTGAGCCATCCCCCAGCCCACCCCAGGCTTACATCCGCCCCTGCCCGGGCAGCTCCCTCTCAAGTCACCACGTCTGGCTGGAGAAGCGTGCTTGGGGCTCCCAGCCCAGTTGTGGGCAGGAGAAGAGTCTGCCCCATATGTGGGGGACTCGTCGCCCTCCCCACTGCCTGCTGTCACCTTGGGCACGGCCCTGGCCAGGATGATCCCACTCTTCCGGGTGATGGGCTGCTGGCTCTGCAGGAGGTGCTCGATGAGCAGCGGGATGGTGGGGAAGCCTTCACCCTCCAGCCGGTACATGTTCTGTGGGGAGGAGAGGTGAGGGGTTGTGCCTGCACGCACACATGGGTGTGCTCAGGAGGGCTGGAGTGCATGCATGGATGAGTGTGCACACATGCACACGGCACAGGACAAGCATGCACACTGGGCATGGCAAACACGCGTAAGTGGGAATCCCGAGGCACGATGTAGGGCTCACACCCCACGCTCCACGCTTGGCCTGTGCAAGGGTGGGTGCACACAACTCGTACCGTACACACACATCCCGTGCACTCACACCAGGGGCCCTGTGGC